TCAGATTACCTCGTCACCAAACAGATCCTTCAGTTCTTGCAACGTGGTAGCTGTATCTTCGAGCGTATCGTGCAACAAAGCAGCCGCAATCACTGCGCTGTCCGTCACACCCGCTTCGTTGATTAGAATATTCGCAACACCTCAACTCACCATACTTTATCGATTTCACCCAGGCTGCGCAGAATCAGAAGTCATGTGTTTCTAACATACAGTTTCTTAAATCGATTTCTTATCAAGATCACTCGGGCTGTCAGTGCGGGTATCCCCTGTTAATGACGTCAGTGACATGCTGAGCTGCTTGCTTCCACTAATCAGGCGTTGTTAGTTTTCTAACTGAGATTATTTCAGTCGATTGACACAACCTCATAACATTTGATTTCTCAACCACTATTATTAGCATCACTCAGTGCATAATCAGTGACGCATCTCTTCCTCCACGCACTGAGGATGTCCGTAGGACGCCTGAGAAGAAAGAAGTTACCAATCGGATGGTTGATGTATGGTGTCTGCTCAGCATCCTTTCGCCTCTGCTTGCGATGTCGTTCAGCCGCGAAACTACACGCTTTGATAACGGTCTGAATATCCGAACTCATCACTCCAGGCCCATCTGCATCATCCAAATTTTTCTTGAATAATCACAGAGAGATCGCTGAAAGGAGCCCCGGTTGATGAATCAATGATTGTAGCTGAGTTCGCATAAGACTCATAGGCGAACCCACCACGTTGATATAAGCGAGACTTTATGTCACTCCAAATCATAGTGTAGCTAGCGTGGGAAAAGGTTGCCACCGTCTTTTCTGTCCAGCGTACCAAAATCATTCAAGTGGGAAGAAATGTGAATCCCTACAGCAAAACTCAGTGAAAAAATTCGAAAAATGCAAAGGCATAAAATTTAAAATTTGCCAAAAGTTTCCATTCTTATGCATTTTTGCATATATGCAAATTGCAAAAACGCATATTTGAGGCTGTGTGTATTTGTGTGTATGTGTGTGTGTCTGTGTGTTCGCACTTTTTGTCACCCACTTTCCACTCGAAAAGCTAGAAGGCTGAAACTTTGGGACTACGTGCCCATACCATGCACGACGCTTCCGTTTTAATATCTTCCCCAGCGGACGCTTGGGTGCCGCTTACAGATGCTTTAAAAAAATAAGCAAATTTTTTAGCAGGAAAGCGATCTCCGATACCAGACAAGGTAAGGGATTGAAAACTTTGTAGGGATGTTCACTATGCACGTTTTATCTAAAGATTTCAAATCCAGTCTCTAGAGCGTATGATGGGTGGTACTTGCGTAAGGGCGTATGAAAGTTTCTGCGGGAAAATTATTAACTCGGGAACTAGAAAAGCTAGAAAACTGAAATTTTAGGGGGATGTTCCCTGTCCAAGTACAACTTAAGTATTTCAAATTCAGCCTTGAGGTATACGTGGTTTTAATGTACGGGAACTTAAAAGTTTTAGCGGAAAAACTTCTCACTGAACAGCTAGTTTACTTTTAAAGAACCGTTAAATGAAAACTGTACATTTACCTTATACAAAATTTGTGGTGATTTATGCTAGTGACCGTAAAAGGTATGTGTAAAACAACAACCATTCATGCAGTTAATGACCTCAGTACTTCAAGTCCGGCGCAAAACGCATGATCGCACGGACCCGCCTGGTGCGTTCCAACCCAGGTTTGAAAATGACCCACCTGTTCAATGAGTAATTTTCCCGCCAAAAATTTAATTGTCCGTCCACGATAATTACCGCGTGAAGAGTGAATTTGAAACCTTTAAGTTGTATTTGGTCGGGGAATATTCTCCTAAAATATCAGCTTTCCAGCTCTTCTGGTTTCAGAGTTAGCATTTTTCCCGCCAAAACTTCCACAGAGCTGCACGTGACGTGGGAGCATACCTACAGGAGGCTAGATTTGCAATCTTTAAGTTGTACGTGGGCTGGGAACATCCCTTTAGAGTTTCAGCCTCCCAGCTCCCTGGTTCCCAAGTTAGCGATTTTCGCGCCAGGAATTGTCAGGGGGTTATACGCGGGAACCACGCAACCTCGGAGGCTGAATTTGAAACCTTTTAGTTCTGTGTAGACGGGGAACATAATTTCAAAATCTCGACTTTGTAGCTTTTCTTGTTTCTGAGTTAGCAATTTTCCCGCCAAAACCCTCTCGTACGCTGGGCCCGGGTTGCGTGAGGGTCCGTACCGCGGCCCTGGGAAGACATCTGGCGGGTGAACCCATTGACAAGGTTTTAGCGCCGGAGCTTGCCTGGTTGTCCAGTTGAAATACCATGCTTGGTTCTTACGTGGTTTCAGGTATGCGTGGCTCTTACGTACGAACACGCAAAAGATTTGGCGGAGAATTGTTAAGTCAGCAACCAGAAAAGCTGGACGGCTGAAATTTTGGGGGGGG